GCTTGTAAGCGCGGACGGTCGGTGAGACGCTCTGCAGCAAAGACCGAAATCAGCTGGGATTCATCGCTTCTAATTATGGCGCTCTTTATTTATTTTTTATTTTTTTGAGTTGGCTTGATCTCCTTCTGTAGCCAACGTTAAGATTTTGAACTGGATTCGTTTTGAAACAAGTGCGCCACTTAGATGCGTGACCACAGTGGGGCGAGAATTTCTGCCATACTTATTCGACCACAGTAATAAGTGGATGATACTGCAAGCTACCTTATCTCCAGTCCTTTTGCAACATTTTCAAACTTATGGTAACTTTTCAGGGATAGCTCAATTGATTTTTGCTACGAAAAGTATAGTTGTGTGACAATGAATTGAAAAAACCGACTTTATTGGCTAAGATTAGTATAAAAGCGTTGCAGTAAAACCAAGTCGACATACAGTACTTGGGAATAATGATGTTCGAATAATAGTTGAAAATTCATTATGGCCACGCACAATGCTGGCGCACAGTTTCCACAACGGAGTCGAGTCTTGAAACCGCTGAGTTGTTTGCAGAAGGAAATTATGCCGAAATTGAAGGCAATAACGCGGTATAGTTAGAGGCTGGACTGGATTCCGGCTGATATCTTGCCGCAATGCAACCATGCCGCAAACTCGGCTGCTTCTTAATGCACTCATTGGGCCTTGTAAAGATCGGCCAATGCCGGTGAAGTATGGGGGTACTCTTTAGGACCTGTTGTAGTAACTGCGACTATTGATGTGCTTCATGGACGTTGACGGCCGCGCCACCATCAGCACGCAGTTATCATTGTTAACTTGTTCTAGAAAAACCTCTAGAAATCGACGGTTGAAGCTGTCTAATACACCTTAGAACATTCCGTGGTCTTGATCCTCTGCCGTCTAAAAGGCACATTCTAACATTTTGCAAGGTCGTGCAGCCTAATAGTTGGCTCTATTCTAATATCTCACGCAAAAATAAATGTTTACAGAGTACGACGTGGATACGAAGTCTACAAACAAGTGTGCGCAGCATGTCATTCCATGAAATTCATCCATTATCGACATTTCGTCGACACAATAATGACTGAGGTAAGACAAGATGAATGATTAGGTGCACACTCTATAGATTTATACTCATGAAAAGTCATAAATGACTTCTTCAACTGTATAATCTTGTGAATCTTGAATAAAATGTATATCTTGCAATCATGGAGTTGCAAACGCTCCCGCTTTTTTTAGGAAGAAGCAAAGGCTGAAGCTGCTGAAGCCCTAATAAATGACGTTGATGATAAGGGTGCAGCAATTCAACGGCCAGGAATTCTTACGGATAAGCTTCCAAATCCATATCCAAATAAGAAGGCTGCAGCAGCAGCTAATAATGGTAATGCTGTAAATTTAAGTTTATACATAAATTACTTGGCTTATCTCTTCTTAAATCTTTTTTTATCAATTCGTAAGTATTCTTTAGGCGCTGCACCACCGGATCTCTCATTGATGGCCTTAGCTAGACATGGTGGAGATGATTACATCTTTGCTTTACTAACAGGATATTTCGATCCTCCCGCCGGTATCAAGGTGTGTACGTGTCC